CAACATGACTGAGCACATGAAGAAAGGATGAGATGAGTCCAGCTGGACTCAAGGAAGCTTCATTTTATCTTTATGATCTGAGAAGTCTGTACTGAGCAACATTGCAGAATAAACAAATACAGCAAAAGGAAAGTGATTTCCTCCTAGCAAAATCTGGCTGAAATATAGCCTGTGACAAGGAAAAAAAATTCAACTTTCCAAGCATCTGGCTTTTCATGCTTTTTTTAAAAAAAATTAGAAATTAAGTTGCTGGCCCTTGTTGGGGCACAGATCTGCTCAAACCTGCATGGTTGAGATGTGCTACCATCTTGGGGCTAAAATGGACAAGATGTGCAAACGGCCCATCCATGTTTGGTTAAAATATACTGTAAAAGAAAGGGGGTGGGGTGGGGAATAAAGAGATGATTGCTGGTGGACCAAGATGAGAACACAAGCATTAAACTTCCACCTCCCTGGGGCATCTTCCTGATTCAATTTATTTTCTGTTTGCCACTCTTACAGGCCCACTGATGGGTGGGTGTGTCTCATTAGTGACTTTTCAAAGAGAAATGTAAAGGGTCACAAGGTTCAATTTCAAGTCTTCTGAGCTGGGCCCTCCAGGAAGAGGTAAGAAGATGGGAAGAAGTTCACGATCAGCTCATTGCAAAGCCTGGCTCCTTGAATGCCCAGACCAAGCTTGTTTATTCTGAACAACTCTGAGCGGCCAGCCCCATTGACCTGTTGGTTGGGTTTGTACAACAGGTTAGACGAAGCTAAAATAAAGGAATGGGTAGTTTGTGGTTTATTGGGTTGGGTGAAGCCAGGTTCTTGTTGTGTGAACCTAGCCCTCATGTTAAACAGTGATGGTTTATTTGCCAGAGCAGAGCAAGCTATGTTTCTTGACCCTGCCCTTTTGGACACCCCAGGGAGGTCGTCTTACTATTCTTGGTAATGACAGAGAGAACACAAGTGTGTGTGCCAAGTATGTTGTCTGAACCCACCCAGCCTATGGGCAGAAATACCCAGTAGGCTTAGTATGCTGTTTGAAGGAACAATATATATTGTTTTATCTATCTTGTTGGCTGGGGAATTCTGGGAGTTGAAGTCCACCCGTTTTAAAGTTGCCAAGGTTGAGAAACACTGCTCTAGACTGTCTGTCTTGATTTATGGTCCTGAAGGAGATTTGGCTTGGCCACATCACTCGAAAAATTGTAGTCCTGTAATGCCTTGTTAATGAAAAACAGGCTTTCCTGGCTGAGAGTGCCAAATTTAATTTCTCGTCCATGCTAGCTACACTCATTTTGCTGTGTGACTTCTGGCTTGATGTGAACCAACAAGCGTTTAATTGAATGAAATTGGAGCCAGTTGCTATTTTGCCAAATTGCACCCAGGCGCAGGAGAAGAAGGGTCCCCCCTTGATGGTTAGCAACTGTTCCTTTGCATCCCAAAGGTGACTAAACAGGAATCTGAAGGCCAGGAGAAAAACTATGCAGATCCAGCATGATCTGGATTAACCCCCATTTCCAGCCCTTGATTTAGCAATCCATGCCAAGTGATTTAAGACCTCTGTCTTCCACAAAACACTGGATCACATATCAAGATAAGTTGCTATTCGGGTCTTTTGGCCTTAAATAAATATTGGTTGTTATTAACCATGATGTGATGGGTTTGCTATGGCTAAGTATGTTGGACAAATCCTTCCGTGCAAATGTGCCCGCCTCGCTTGTTCGACAAACCATAGTTAATCATGACTTAACGCGATGCGTGCATGAGGTCAAGAAGCCTTTGTGAAGATGGGTGTGGCTGAATAGGGAATCTGAGAGTTGGTTAGTTGATTTGGGCGGAGGCTGATATTTAATCCGGAGGACATTCTTTAGCATGGTCGGGTGTTTTGGTATGTTAGCAATATCCTTCAGTATTTAATATCACTTCTGAGGTTTTGTGAACACGCCAGTGTTAATTGGTTGGCTATAAAGCGAATGCTTAATTAAAAATGAATGCACTAATGATTCTATAAATCCTCTAGATTTCTCCTTTCCTACTTGCTAAATGTCAGATTCATGCAGCGGCCTAGTTGGCTTCTGCAGAGCGAGGCGTTCCTAAATGGAGGACGTTTGGGGGCATTTCTCTTCTTAAAAAAACCAAAACAAATACAAGAATAATCCAGTCACTTCTATCAAGCGCCTTCTCCACCTGCTTGGCTTTGCTTCATGTGGTTGGTTTCCAATCTTGGTGGATTTGGGATCTGGTTCCCTTGGTACGAGCCGTATTTGTGATGTGGTCAGAAGAGGATGTTTGGGTCAAGTTTGAAGGAAGCCCCATTGGCCTTTTTGGATGGATGAATTCGCAAGAGAAGGAATTTTGGGATGACTCACTGCTTTTCCGATGCATCTGGAGAAGTTTTTTTAAGTGCTAGTCTCCAGTGTTGTAGTGAGAGGTGGGCTTCCAGTGAGTTTCTCAATGCCCTCTCCCAAATGGGATGGTGGAGATTCTGTAGAAGTGTTTCTCAACCTTGGGAACTTGAAGATGGGTGGACTTCAACTCCCAGAATTCCCCTGCCAGCAACGCT